ACTTTTTATAGCAGGTTATGCAACTTTATGTAGCAGTTGGAATATTTTTTTATGTATTTGGCGTATTTTTTTTACTTTTGTGAGGTTTTTTTAGTGGCTTAAAATTTGCGGAGTTTTAGGGATGATTTGTTTGCTGTTTGAATTCATTTACATGTGTCCGAGACTTGTTTCGAAATGTGGTTCGCTCCTTCCGCGCGGTCCTTTTATTGGCGCGTGTTTCTTTAGAAAGATCTCGAATTTTCAAGAGAATGACAAAACTTTTGACAGTTTTTGCGTGAATTTGTATTAATTTTGTTCATTTGAGGATTTTTCTAAAAGGACATTAATTGTGGGCTTTGCTCGGAGTTTGCCCTCGCGGATTGATAGCTATTGACAGCTAAGTGGCGACCCGTGATTGGTAACTAATAGCTAATATTTGTGAAGTGAGGGTGGGGGGATTTAAGGCGGCAGGAGACACGAACCAAGCATCCATCTCTTCCGTGGCAGCGGCACTGTCGTATCTGTGTAGGGCATTTACACACTTCCTCAGCCCGACAAATAATTGTTAGAAAACATTTCTGAAAAAATATGCGAGGTACGAGTGGCCGAATCGGGAATCGAACCCAAGTCTTTCGCTTTCCGGGCAACTGCTCTTACCACTGAGCTATTCAGATCTCACACCTTACGCCACTTTAACACAGTTCATACGACTCCAGAGCTATGTGGGAATCTCGCTCAATGGATGCAGTGCCGATTGCCACGGAGAGACGACATTCCCAGCACATCTCCAGAGCAGTCCAATCGTATTAAACGATTTAAAATTGGCCCCCGTAGCCGCTCAGCGATGAGTCTTGACTCGTCACTAGTATGCATAGAAGCCTCCTCGAGTAATCCATCCTAAACCACTACGCCTAAGCAGCCCCCTCTTCTGCTCCCAATTAATAATATGATCTTCCAACGTTACCATGTGGTGGATCTAGTGGACAGATTACCAGCATTTATGCTGGCACAGATGTACACCGCGGAGTGAAGTGCGGGGGGGGGATTTAAGGCGACAGGAGGCACAAACCAAGCAATTTCTGTGTAGATAATAGGCTCTCGATGACGACAGACTCGGCACTAAAGATTGGCGTGAGCCGGACCATGTTGCGTGTCGTTACCGAGCGCGACAGTTACAAGCGTGATTTCCGCGGTCTCCGCTCAATTATCGAAAAATTGGACACGTTCAGGAGACACAACTGTTGAACATCGTCTTATCAACACTCGACGTTGATTTGTTCTAGAAGTAAGAATCAATCACGTTCGATTAATATTCAACGGTTGTGTCTCGTGAACACATCCATTATCGTAATGTAACATTGTATAAATTCATACTAAACTTATCAGCTTGTTTAGAAAGCATATGATTTAATTCTTTTACCTCTATAAGATTGTCATTAAATTTTTGTCATGCAAATTTTTGTCATATTATTGTAGATTTGATATTTATTAAATAGATAGGCGGGTAAACATATTGATAGATTGTTGATTAATTACGAAATTCAATAGAAAGAAATAAATTCCCATTCAAAAAACGCCCAGCCACTTAATAATAAATCATTTTTAAGAATGGTTATCATATTATCATATAAGCATTAAAGTTGTGACTTTATTCTTTAAGAAGAATTGAAACATTTAACTACAATTTTTCGGGAAGTTACGACTGTTTGAAATTCGTGAATTTTTCAATTAAAAAATCTTAATCCCTTACTTTTTATTCCTAGTATATAATATTAATTTATTATTAATTTAACTAATATTAATTTAAATTATTAATACTACTAATACTAATATTAGTTTAAATTATTAATTTGATATATTAAATATATTATATATATTTAATATATAAATATGGCGCCTTTTTTACCTTTTTTAAAAAGGTAAGTTTTTAGGGACTTTTTTTACTATATATTATTTTAATAACATGTAAAACAATCAAATTTCTAATAGGCTTAGTCAACAGCTTGAGTTTGTAATATAAAAAATATTTTAAAAGTAATAAAATTAGAAATTGGCAATTGCAACCATATATAAAGCGCAAATAAATAAATCAATAATATCGTAAAAACATTTTAACAAAAAAGTGTTTTTATTTTAACTCTACGTGTTCTATAAACCATATAGGGTAATTATTTACATTAACGGACACCTCGCCGATGACCTTGATCTTGACATATGTTGTCAAGAGGGATACAACCCTGAATAACTTTTCCTTATAACTTAATTGGCGGTCATTGTTTATTAAAAAATTATAAACAAAAAAAGTTTGAGAAATTTGCCATTTTGTGTCAGTGCTAAAGAAAGTAATTGATATATTGGTTATATGCAGTATAGGGGAGGCAGCTTCAATGACCTTGACCTTAACATATGTTGTCAAGGTTATCACCCTGAGTAACGTACAAAAGGTTTTAGTCGACCCTCATTGTTTATTAAAAAATTGTTCTACAAACAAAGTTATGAAGCATTAATATAAGCATAAGCAAAAGCATAAATTTTAGTATAATATTAAATCAGAAATAGATTTGGGTTAGGTTATATCTTCCGGAAGTGGAGCCCCCGCTTAGGGGGCTATATACACTTTCCCATCCACACAACAATTGTGGGGTGGATCTCGCTTCGTATTGTAAAGTATATGCGTGGACACAGTGAGTTCGGCCCCCCCAAGGGGAGGGCTCCACTTCCGGAAGATGTAACCTAATCCAAACCTATCTCTGATTTAATTCTAAAATTTATTCTTCTTTGCACTATTCCGCGATACTCTTATATATCTCTTGATATTCTTCCTTGCACTATTCCGCGATATTCTTATAAATATCTCTACTATTTTTATGAAAAAATAATGCACTCTTGCATTGCGAACTTATTTTATTAACTTATACTTATCAAAAGCAGGTACGGATGCGAGCAGTAACATCACGAAGCGCCGTTAATGCAATCTTATGGCGAATGCTCCAACCGTACTTTTCGTACATGCGCATTGGGGATTTGGGCGGTGACGACGATGGAGACGTATCTTAAAAATTTTATACATTTCGACTTTGCATCATATTACCTCCATTCACGATACATGTAAAAAAAATATAAAGACACTTTCATTATATAATTCAAACCCAAGCTATCAATTAAGCCTATTAAAGATACGATCGGTTCTGCCGTTATTGAGGTCCGACAATCTAAAATCTAAGGTACTTGCAACTGGTCGACTTGCGTATAGATACCCGGAGTGCCTCGCTGCTTCGTATGAACTTGACTTATTACAATAACTACGGCCCCCTATTTGAAAGGTCGTTTCTGAAGGCATTTTTGACGAGGAATACGGGAAAAATAATAAAAAAATTTCTGACCAATAGTTTTTGAGATATATCACTTTAAAGTATTGGACATGATAATAAAACTTTACAAGAACGGACCCAATGACCTTGACCTTGACATATGTTGTGAAAATCACTGTCGTGAGTATCTTCCAAAAGGTTTTAAGTGTCGCTCCTTGTTTATTAACAAATTATTAACAAAAGAATTTGCACGAGTTATATGTAATTTAGTAATTATTTACTTTTAGAGGAGCACTTCAAAACGACGTTGACCTCGACATACGTTGTCAAGATCATGACCCTGAGTAACTTTTCCTTATAACTTAATCAGCGGTCTCTTATAATTTTTGAGATATTTAAAGTTAAAATTTGATTCGAAACGAAAATTTGGTTTGGGTTATATAACGTAACCCAAACCAAATTTTAGTTTTAAATAAGAAATAGGTTTGGGTTAGAATGCACTCTTGCATTGCGAACTTATTTTATTAACTTATACTTATCAAAAGCAGGTACGGATGCGAGCAGTAACATCACGAAGCGCCGTTAATGCAATCTTATGGCGAATGCTCCAACCGTACTTTTCGTACATGCGCATTGGGGATTTGGGCGGTGACGACGATGGAGACGTATCTTAAAAATTTTATACATTTCGACTTTGCATCATATTACCTCCATTCACGATACATGTAAAAAAAATATAAAGACACTTTCATTATATAATTCAAACCCAAGCTATCAATTAAGCCTATTAAAGATACGATCGGTTCTGCCGTTATTGAGGTCCGACAATCTAAAATCTAAGGTACTTGCAACTGGTCGACTTGCGTATAGATACCCGGAGTGCCTCGCTGCTTCGTATGAACTTGACTTATTACAATAACTACGGCCCCCTATTTGAAGGGTCGTTTCTGAAGGCATTTTTGACGAGGAATACGGGAAAAATAATAAAAAAATTTCTGACCAATAGTTTTTGAGATATATCACTTTAAAGTATTGGACATGATAATAAAACTTTACAAGAACGGACCCAATGACCTTGACCTTGACATATGTTGTGAAAATCACTGTCGTGAGTATCTTCCAAAAGGTTTTAAGTGTCGCTCCTTGTTTATTAACAAATTATTAACAAAAGAATTTGCACGAGTTATATGTAATTTAGTAATTATTTACTTTTAGAGGAGCACTTCAAAACGACGTTGACCTCGACATACGTTGTCAAGATCATGACCCTGAGTAACTTTTCCTTATAACTTAATCGGCGGTCTCTTATAATTTTTGAGATATTTAAAGTTAAAATTTGATTCGAAACGAAAATTTGGTTTGGGTTATATAACGTAACCCAAACCAAATTTTAGTTTTAAATAAGAAATAGGTTTGGGTTAGGTTATATCTTTCGGAAGTAGAGCCTCCTTATAGGGAGGGCGGAACCCACTGCGTCCACGCATATACTTTACAACGCTTACAATACTTTAAAGTGATATATCTCGAAAACTATTGATCGGAAAATCTTTTTACTATTTTTCCCGTGTTTCTTGACAAAAATGCCTTCAGAAACGACCTTTTAAATAGGGGGCCGTAGTTATCGTAATCGTGCCAAGGGACGTTTAACAGTTTTATATGTCAGTGCTTAAATTCTGATAGGATCAATTTATTTACTTTATTAAAACTTACCTGTCTATAATATGTGCGGTCAAAAGTTTTCCATTACCGCATGCCATAGCTACTTGTGTACTATCGCTAGACCAAGCAATACTGTAAATGCTGCCAGTATTCACTTTTTCCATAGAATGTAGCCACTAAAATATAACGATAGTATATTGCTAATTATTGATAAGTGAATTCATATGATGAAAAAACATGATATACAAAGATAAAATATTCAACAATCAAGCTTAAATATGAGGCAGATGTGTTTTACTCAATACATAAAATACTCATAAAAATCTCATAGTAATATCTACACTTGATTTCTGTAAGGAAATTAGTTTTAACTTTTATTTAAATTTTTTAGTCAAAGATTTTTATATCTTTTCCGTCATACAGTAAATTTACTTACTAATATGATTAGTACATAACTTAGCAAATTTTTGTAACACTACAAGATACGTACTTTAAGTATTACAGTACACAAGTGCACCTGTGCTAAATGTTCGTACACTATTCTGAGCCTTTTTTTAAAGGAAACAATTCAATATTTATCTTTTTATCTTATCTTAATAAAATACCCTTTGTTTATTTCAAAATATGTTAACAATATTAATACAGTAGAATTGTAAATTGGGATCCTTGAAATAGCGTACAAAATCCCTTCAATATGTACTAAATGCACTTGAGTAGCATGAGTGGAGGTAACAGTACATCCGCGCAACAATGTGTATCTATTTTTCTCAATGTTGGCTGGCGAGCCAAGTTTCTTGCACGTATGCAATGGATGCAGCATCAATAAAGTATTTAATACTCATAGAAACAAAAAGATGTGCCACTAGTCGCTCATGGAAAATTTTCTAAGACTTATCCTAGACAGCACAAAAAATTAAAAGATGACGAAAAGATGTCTATAACACATCTTTTCGTCATCATTTTGTTGTCTTTTCGGCAAAGCGAAAAGACAACAAAAAGATACCTTTTTCGGCCAAACAAAAAGTTCGTTTGCTTACCGCTATGCGACGCGCTATGCGGTATCTATTCCGTATTTGTTTAAGTCATGAAAACTATATAAAATCTGCAAAATGCGGCTAATAAAATCGTAACAACTATTTTTTCAGTTTAATTTCTGATAAAATTTTCATACAGGAGATTCAGATATTGAACTAATTTTTGCAAAATTGGATAGATAAGTGACCAATTCTCATTTATTCGGACAGAAAAAATTGTCTAAATAAGAAATTGTCTAAATAAGAAAATCGTTTGTTAATGTCTACTTAAAATATAAAATACAGAAATTAATTTTTATATAAATAAAATCTTTAGTTTTATAAATTAAATTATTGAAATTTAATTATATTTAATTATATAATACAAGGTAACCCATTTTAAATGACGCATTGATATTTCTCGAAAACCAAAGCTTCCACCGAAAAATATTTCGTACAAATGTTTTGTGATCTTGATGGAGATATTATATGGTGCCAGTGGTTTGATCTTGGATGAAGGGCATAAAGTTATTTCAAGATCATCTCTATCTTCTTAAATAGTACCCTAATTTGTTTATATAAATCAATTCCTCGCAATATTCGGCGTAAAAAGTTATAAGGGTAGGATGGCAAAAAATTTAATAGTTTATGAGATATTTTATACTTTAATTTGACTTAATTTTACATAAATTATAAAATATCAAGTATATTATATACAGGGTGAGGCAAATAAAGCGTTACAAGTTAATATTATCCCGCCTTAAATCCCCCCTCGCTTCACTCTGCGGTGTACATCTGCGCCAGCGTAAATGCTGATAATCTGTCCACTAGATCCACCACGTGGTGACGGTGGAAGATCGTAATATTAATTGGGAGCAGAAGAGGGGGCTGCTTAGGCGTAGTGGTTTAGGATGGACTACTCGAGGAGGCTTCTTGCCGGCTTGACGCGAAGCTTCCAGCAATCGCAAGCGATCTACCAACTCGTTGGGATCATTCCAATGCACGTAATCGATCTTATTATCCTTTAACGTCATAGCGCGCGATATGTTTATACCTCTTCCAGCTTTTTTCCAGGCGCTATTATATTTTTATTAGACATTAATGGCGCAATTATATTTTTATACTTGTATCCCTTGTTACTTAATACTGGATTACGCATATCATTGCTACGTCTATGCGCATTTGTCGCCAGTAATATTGTTGTGTTTTTAGAATTACAAAATGACAGGATTTGATTGTAGGAACTGAAGTGAATAAAGCTCAAGACATCTTTATTATTTTGATCTAGACGATACAAAAGCGGGGGCCAGTACTAACTGACTAACTATGCGCAAGCCCAAACGCGAGGGAGTCGGCGCGTGATTTACATATAGATGGCGTGACTGTTACATGGTTGTGTCTCATATGCAACATTTCTTCCCTCCGTTGCGAATTGAAATCTATGACGAATATCTGATTGGCGGGCGGCGTATCCTTGTTGATTGGCGAAGAAGAGGTGGAGAGGAGTTTCCTTCACGGTGTGGTGGGTGATTATCCGGGGTAAAAAACTCAGATTCCGGCGATGTTGTGGCAGTGGGAGGGGATGCTGGAGTGTTTCTGGCTACGGGGCTCGGCGGTGTTGTTAGGGGTAGGGGGCTCCCTTCGTAAAAATGTATATGACGAGGTGCTGCCCCTTGCTGTTGGTCCTGTGAATGACACTCCTTGTTCTAGATGCTTGTTTCAGTGCTACGGCAGAGTCGGATTTGGTCGACATGGCGTTTGACCCGTTTCCCGTTGTAGTCTATTACGTAGTGGAGGTCGCCTGTACGAGAGACTAGGCCAGTACTAACTGACTAACTATACGCAAGCCCGAACGCGAGATTCACATATAGATGGCGTGACTGTTACATGGTTGTGTCTCATATGCAACATTTCTTCCCTCCGTTGCGAATTGAAATCTATGACGAATATCTGATTGGCGGGCGGCGTATCCTTGTTGATTGGCGAAGAAGAGGTGGAGAGGAGTTTCCTTCACGGTGTGGTGGGTGATTATCCGGGGTAAAAAACTCAGATTCCGGCGATGTTGTGGCAGTGGGAGGGGATGCTGGAGTGTTTCTGGCTACGGGGCTCGGCGGTGTTGTTAGGGGTAGGGGGCTCCCTTCGTAAAAATGTATATGACGAGGTGCTGCCCCTTGCTGTTGGTCCTGTGAATGACACTCCTTGTTCTAGATGCTTGTTTCAGTGCTACGGCAGAGTCGGATTTGGTCGACATGGCGTTTGACCCGTTTCCCGTTGTAGTCTATTACGTAGTGGAGGTCGCCTGTACGAGAGACTATCATTCCAGAGACCTACTTGTCCATGCGGGAATTCCCTGAAAGGAAGTAAACTCGTTGTCCTGACTGTAATTCCCGGAAGGAGGAATTAAATATTTGTTGCTTCTGCGAAATTCTGGTACTGACATCTTGTGGCCTCACTATTTCGAGGCGGGTGCGCACATTGCGTCCCAGAAACAGCTTGGATGGGGATTCTCCGGTGATAGCGTGGGGGGCTTTTTGGTATTGTCGCAATAGTTTATTCAAATTAGTTTGAAGTGAATTCCTCGTTGTAGACATCGTTTTCAGCGCGTCTTTCACTGTTTGGACGTAACGTTCTGCCTGGCCGTTTGTCGCTGGATGGTATGGTGCTAAAAGTTTGTGGAATGTTACTCCGCTTCTTTAGGGGAAGGTCTTAAACTCGGCGGCGGTGAACTGGGCACCGTTGTCTGAGACGATGGTTGTTGATACGCCGTACGTAGCAAACAATTTATCCAGAATTTTAATTGTAGCATCTGTTGTAGACGAATTGGTGACTTTCACTTCAAGCCACTTACTGTAAGCATCGACGATGACTAGAAGCATTGCACCTGCGATTGGCCCTGCGTAATCGATGTGGATTCGTTCCCACGGCCCCTTCGGATACTCCCAGTGGTGGTCTCTGAACTTGGGCGGAGCATGTGCATGGCGTGCGCATTCCACACAAGCAGTTCGTTCGATGTCCGAGTCTATACCTGGCCAGTAGATGAAGGATCGCGCTAAACCCTTCATTTTTACGATCCCGATGTGGGCCGTGTGTAGGTCATCTAAAATTGACTGTCTCAGTATTGCGGGTATAACTACTCTGTGCTCAAAGAACAAGCAGTTGGCGGCGAGTGTATATAATACGCTTCCGGGGCTTTGTAGCCAATCAGTGTGAGATTGTGACCTGCTTCCAACTTCTGAACTATTTTGCCGAGATGAGGGTCCTTGCGAGTCTCGCGCGCTACATGTTCTGCGCAAACTGGTAACTGTTGAATTTGATGTAGGGCAAATCGATCAATTCCATCGTCTTCGCTAACATTTCTTCCTCCGCTAAGAGGCAGCTTGTTGACTTCGTTTCGTATTTGTGGATATGGTATCCGGGAACAGTAGTCGGCATTTGTGTTTTGATCTGTAGGTTTGAAGACGACGTCGAAGTTGAAGTGTGCTAGGTAATCTGTGTAGTTCGCCATTCGGCTGATACAAAGTGTTAGAAGGGACTTCTCGGGGTGCAAAATTTGTGTCAATGGCTTGTGGTCTGTAATGAGAATGACTTTACAAGCGTATAGGTAATGGAAAAATTTTTTTACTGTCTACACAATGGCGAGAGCTTCTTTGTCAATCTGTGGATATCGTTGCTCGGTGGCGTACATGGTACAACTGGCGTTCCTGTCCATTTTCAAGTCGGTGTGAAAGGACTGCTCCTAAACCCGTTTTACTTGCATCCCTGGCCAGGATCAACGGAAGCGATTGATCGTACTGCATTAGTACTTGAGGTGAAATTAGGGCTTCTTTGATGTCTTGGTATGCCTTCTCTGCATCTGGTGTCCATTTAAAAGGATCAGTGAGTAGCATATCTCGTAATGGTCGGGTTCTATCGGAGAGGTTGGGAATACAAGCGCTGTAGTACGTAGCTTTTCCCAATAACAACTGCAGTTGTTCCGGAATTACTGGCTGAGGTGCATCACGGACGGCTATGATGTGCTTGTCCGACTTGTGTAATCCATGACGATCTATTTTGTGTCCCAAGCATTCTAGGGTTGGAGTAGCGAAGACGCACTTTGCTCGATTAAGTCGTATGCCATGAGTCTTCAATCGCTCCAACGTAGCCGAGAGTACTGATAATAAGTTATCGAGTCCATTAGCGGGGATTATTATATCGCCGAAGAAATTGGTGACACCTGGCAGGCCTTCAAGAATGGTTTCCATGCGTCGTTGCCAAATTACCGGAATGTCAGCTGCTCCGTAAACCGCTCTCTTTGGTCGAATCAGTCCGTGCGTCGGAGTATTTAGTGTAAGGACATGGCGAAACTTTTCATCAATAGGGAGATGTGTGTATGCATCCGTAACGTCAAGGTGGCAAAACAATGTGGCTCCTTTCATTTTATTAAAAATATATTCAATCTTTGGTATCGGATGCTCGTCGATGATCATTCTCGGGTTAACTGTTGGTTTGTAATTCCCAGTGATACGTAATTTCCCATTCTTTTTTGCGACGATATGAGTAGGTGAAGCTCATTCCAAATACTCAACCCTTTCATAGACTCTTGATGCAATTTTTGCATCAATTTCTTTAGCGTATTGGTCCCGTAGCGCCAGTGGGACATCACGAGCTTTGGCGAAGATCGGAACTGTGCCGGGTTTCAAATGCACTGTAGCCGGCGGCCCAGTAAGTTTACCAGGAACTTCGCTGAAGGTATCGTCGAAACTTGCCAGTAGCTGATTGAGACACGCATTCTGTTCTGTAGTTATATGTGATTCAGAAGTAAGCAAATTAACCCGGTCAGTAGAGAAGAGACGATTCAAATTAATTTCATGGATAAAATGCGAAATCCATTCCCGTCCTAAGAGTGTGTCTGTGTCCCTAGACACGACGTAAAGATTGAGTTTTCGTGTAGTAGATCCGATAGTTACGTTCACTGGAATACGACCAAGGCAGTCAATATGATGTCCTGTGAAACTCGAAAATTTCCTGTTAGTTTTCTGTAAAGAAAAGTGAGGTTTAATCTCACGTAATCTTGACACTCCAATTATACCGCACGGTGCTCCGGTGTCTAGTTCCATATCTAGGTTACGGCCGTCAATCTTAGCATTAATACTCTGCTTACCTGGCGGAGCAGTCTCATAAATTTGGTTCAATAGTTGTACTGAATCAATTTGAGCAGCTGGAAGCGCTTCCGATTGAACCTGATTAATGGGAAAGTCCTGCGGTTTAGATTTCCTTGCCCTGCATACTTTAGCTATGTGACCGGTCTTGTCACACTTGTAGCATTTTGCTTCACGGAATCGACATTGGCTTGGCGGATGTTGTCCTCCGCAGCTGTTACACGAACCCTGAAGCTGTTGTCCGCTCTCTTGTGGTAAAGCTCGATAACGAAGCTGTCCGCCTTTCTTCGTTTTTGGCGTTTCATAACCTAGTTTGTTTGTAGTCTCAGGAGCCATCGCCGGTTCAATCGTTCTAACTTCGTTTGCCGTGTTTCTGGTTGCCTCAAGTGAATGTGCGATCTCGTATGCAGCACTGAACGTTGTTGGTTTCTGGGCGATGATCTCATCGCACATATCCCGAGATTCTAGTCCGTGGAGCAGTTGTTCGATCAACATTCTGTCCAGAAATGTGTCGTATTCATAATGAGCAGCGCCTTGTTTTAAACGAAGTGAAAAATTCGCGACAGATTCGCCCTTGTATTGCACGATTTGTCTGAATTTAATGCTTTCAACGTATTTATTTTTAGTTTGATCAAAATGATTTACCAAAGTTGTACGTATCTCAGCGAATTGAAGACTTTCAGGGTCACGAGGGCTTACCAAGAACTTCAGAGCGGTATTGAGTTCTGCACCCATGTGAACTCGAGCATAATTCGCATATTGCGCTTCAGGAATTTTACTCAACTTAAATGCCCATTTGAAGCGCTGGAAATAGTCCGCAACCGAAGTCTCTTCCGACGAGTGATATTCGGACATGGAAAACGCAGGCGGTCTTGGTTACATCGATGCGCCAGCTTCGGCGCCTTCCTGAGATCTCTGGAATTCTGCAGAAGCATGATCGACAGATGTCCTGAGCGCACTAACAAGCATCTGAGTTAGTGCTTGCATAAGTTCCGGAGATACCGTATCCGTCATTTCACTTAATAATTGCACGTTGATTACGCCGTCGAGGCGAGTATAACCTTACTTTCAGCAGGCACGAACCTTCCGTTCTTTCTCTTCCAAATCCCACTTCTGACACCAAATGTTGTGTTTTTAGGATTACAAAATGACAGAATTTAATTGTAAGAACTGAAGTGAATAAAACTCAAGACATCTTTATTATTTTGATCTAGACGATACAAAAGCGGGGGCCAGTACTAACTGACTAACTATGCGCAAGCCCAAACGCGAGGGAGTCGGCGCGTGATTTACATATAGATGGCGTGACTGTTACATGATTGTGTCTCATATGCAACAAATATATCTTTGTATTTAATTTTATCATCGTCAGTATATGCGTCACCATCGGGCGATCTCTTGAAAATCAACTTGTAGAGACCTGGTGTTCCCACGTATCTTATTCAACCGATAATTATATTGTCATCTTTATCCATATCAAAAATTTTATCACCAAGCATCATTCCTTCGTTGCAAAATTTAACACCGTAAACATAATCCATACTGTTATTTTTATCTTGACTCAAAATAGCTCCCACATATTTTTGCCCTAGTGGGCCCAAGTGTGCGCGCAATGTACTTTGACCCTCGGATGCTTGTAATAGATCTTGAACCGACGTAACAAGCGTTTCAGGCGTGGTTTCAAAAATTTCTTCCACAGATGGGGATGGTCTTTTGTACAATATTTGAATTGATTGTACATCTTTTATTGGAGTAGAAGTAACTACATTCGATAATTGTTTCATTCGTTTACGTTTTGATTGATTTGGAGTAGAAGTTATTAGCGAATCGTTTAATGATATATTTGGCCGTGTTTGCTTTGTTCCATACTTTGACTCTTTTTTCAGATGCTTGTCTTCGAGCATACTCGATGGTTCGATTTTCGCTTCATTAGATTCCACATTGATTGTATTTTCGACAAGTTGTTTTAGAGGTTCGATAATTGGTTTAAAGTGCCTCTCCAATGCGACGTCTTCCTCCATTTGACCAGTTTTTAAAGAACGATATTTTTTGCGGATCGATTCGCTCGTTTTTACAATCTCTCTCGCAATCTTCTCACGATCGTCACTGTCAATCGTCGTCGTCATGTTGCGATCGGACGAAAATTTTTAGGCGTTGTTCGATCGATGTATCGATAGCAACTAACCACTTTACGGTATTTCAAAATCGTTAAATCCTTTTCGATATCGTCCATTAGTCTGTAAACTGTCTTTATCAAT